AAAACAGCCCAATTGGGCTAGCAGAACCAGATGCTGTAGCAGAACCAGGCAGGCTATTGGAACCGGGTGCTGTAGCAGAACCTAGTAGGCTAACGGAACCGGGTGCTGTAGCTGAACCAAGCAGGCTAGCAGAAGCCGCAGTCAGGGATCCACCCCAGCAGTTAGTAAAGCCCATTTCCATCTTTTCCCAGAGCTGCTTAATGTAAAGCAGGCTGGTGTGATGTTTAGTTTGGAGGGGGGGCTTCCATTCACTCTGCTTTCTTTAGCCCACCCCTTCCACCCTCATAAGAAAATAAACAGTCGGGCTGTACCTTCATGTTAAAACCTGGAGCACGATTTGAGGGATTGTGATCAAAGCAAATTGTCAGCTGTAACGGTCTGCATTAATTTCCCTAAAAATTATTTATTAATTTTTAATGCTTACTGATTCATGGACACTTTGTAGGGTGGGGTTTCTCTGGGTACCTAGAGTAACGTTCCCTATGATTTTTGTGCATTATTGCAGTGGACTCGAACTGGTAATCTTTCAGGCAGTACACAAGCTTTTTATCACATACTCCACCTGTACACTTGTTTGTTAATCGTGTTTGTTTTGAAGGCTTGTTCTCAGTCCAGTGAGTGACTGAACTTACCTGAAATGTCCCAAAAAAGCGGATCAGGTCAGTATTTTGCAATGCGGTCTGTCTGTTAGGTTACTGAATGGGTATGAGCATCCCCAAGCCCCCAGCGGGAAAGGAGAGGTGCCTGGCTCCTGAGAGAGTCTCACCCTCATCATTGCTGTACTGTAGGTGGAGACACCTACAACCATGTAAACCAGAGGTGTTTCACCAGGAGAGCCAGAGGTATTTGCACAAGCTTGGCACATTCACAGTGAAGTTTGTGTGTAAAAGAAACAAAAAAAAAACTTTTAGTGCACTTTCACGATATATTTTTCTATTTACATTCAATTTAGATTTTTTTTTTTTTTTTTACAATATGGGTGAATTTTAATGTTGTGATTTCACTGCAGTTTCTGCTGATGTATTAAACTTTTCTTTGACAGAAATATTTTTTGTTTGTTGTTTTTTGGACCTGTGCTATAGCTGACACTGAAATTCATCAAGTTCTGTTGTTTTGCTTTGAGAGCCAGATTGACTGAAACTTTCCATAAAGTTCTTTCTGCTACTGCATAAATCTTGTGATCTCTTTATGACTGTCAGACCCAGACGTTAACTGAAGCAGCTTGGGGTTCAGAACGAGAATCCTGCCCAGCGGTACATCACCCAAAGGGTCAGGTCTTGCACCTGGGCCATTAGCTTTTCCGCAGAAATGCATTGGTCATAGATATATAAAACACATTTTTATTTGTTTCATAAAGTAATCTCATTATATAAACATAGGAATTTCATCTCTAAATCTGGGATGTGTGTTTCAAGCCCATAAATGGTCCAAAGGCCTAAGCCATGATTTGTAAAAATGGTTATTTCATTGTTTTAGTGCTTTTTGGGGCCAGCTTTTCTTCTGGGGCTCACTGACATACGTTCTGCAGCATGCTGGGTAAAGTCTATGGCTCATGTGGACAGCGCAATACCCAGCTGGGGCACGGTCACTGCTTTCGTGTGGACAGCGCGAGACCCGGCTGGGGCACGGTCACTGCTTTCGTGTGGACAGCGCGAGACCCGGCTGGGGCACGGTCGCTGCTTTCGTGTGGACAGCGCGAGACCCGGCTGGGGCACGGTCGCTGCTTTCGTGTGGACAGCGCGAGACCCATCACATGTCCTGAAGTGCCAGTCTGAGCTGTTGAATCATCTCCTCATAAAGTCTATGGAGAATCAAGGCTGGCTGACTGTGTTTTTCTCATCAAGACGATCGAAGTCACAGAAGACACGTAATATAAGCAAACAGCCTTTAGAGTTTCAAAATCCACACACCCCTGGAGTCTATGGTGGTGCCGCTGAACCTCACGCCGATATTGTGTTTGCTTAATGCCTTGCTGCCAAAACTCGGATTTTCACACTTTGTGTGTCATATATGAACGTGCTGCTCTGCTGTATTAATACTGTTATTGTTAGAAAGGTTCTGTGTCCAGAGCTTGTTTCTGCTCTGAGCTGAAAAGCACCAAACTTACCAGCTTGTTAATATTGTTTTTGCAAAAATGGTTGTAAAAGGGGGAGGAGGCCTGTATTTTGTGGCCAGTTTAACACTAGTTTACACTATAATGTCTTGAGCTAAGCAAAATTCATTACACAAAGAAGTCTCAAGCCAGGATGAAGGTTACAGCCTCCAGAGTCCTGCTTCAGGGTATTGTAGAGTACTGTGGGTGTCTCCGGCGTGAGGTTTGGTAACGGGACATTTTCGGAATATGAATCTATTGCCTGTTGAAAATAAACATTTGAAATGAGTTTCTCTGTTACCCATAAAAAGGTGAAACACTTACTTGAATGTGCTGCATGTGGAGTTCGGTCATGGATGCTCCTAGCTTCAGATCCTTCCCCTGGGGTGGCTGGTAACCATTTGTCCCCCTGCCCGCTCAGCGAGCCACCCTACATGGCCCCTCTTTGCCCCTCCCTCACCATGGGGGCGCTGTGCAAACCACTCTGTAAAATGAAAAGGCACGTGTATGCGGTGGTGGGACTGCGTGTGAATGTGCGTAAATGACTATGCCTGCTGCATAATGCTGATTACGAATCCAGCTCTTTCAAAGGCTTCTGCTTTAAGGTTCCTCTGCCACCGGTGGCTGACTCGCCGTGAGCGTGTGCAGTGCTGCGTACGGCCTCTGTGTTGGGGAATGACATCACACATCTAAATCTTTTCCATGTGACACATTCATCAATGTGGACGGCGATGGCGGAGGTGAGGGGGGTGACCGTATTTATGAGGTGCCTTGGGGTATTGGATTAAGCCTGGCTTAGCTTGGGGATCCTTCTGACAGGCCTGTTTCCTTAAAATCTGGGGGGGAGCGTGAGCAGGACGGGGCGTTGGGGGGGGGGCATGTCAGCTATGGGGCGGGTGGGCAGC